TTTTTTTTTTTGAGATGGAGTCTCACTTTTTCACCCAGGCTGGAGTACAGTGGAGTGATCTCGGCCCACTGCAACCTCTGCCTCCTAGGTTCAAGTGATTCTCATGTCTCAGCCACCTAAGTAGCTGGGACTACAGGCATGTGCCACTACGCTCAGCTAATTTTTGTATTTTTAGCCAGAGACAGGGTTTCGCCATCTTGGCCAGTCTGGTCTGGAACTCCCGATGTCAAGTGATCTGTCTGCCTTGGCCTTCCAAAGTGCTGGGATTACAGACATGAGCCACTGTGTCCAGCCTCCACTACTGTTTCTTAAATCAGGCTTCAGCTCCCAGCATTTCATCAACGTGGCCCTCAGTTGGGTCATCAGTGGCCTCCGTGGTGCCAACTCCCCAGCTGAGCCCTCATCCACACCTTCCTTACCTTTGAGCAGCAGGGGACACAGTGGTCACTCCCTCCCTAAAGCACTTTCTCCCCTAGACTTCTAGCCCCGTGCTTCCTGGCTCTACCCCATCTCTGTTGGTGCTCCTTCCCAGGCTCCCGGGGAAGGAAAGGTCCTTGTTCTGACCACTACACCCCTAGGCCTGAGACTCAGTCTTCTGACTCCTCTCTGTCTTCCCTCTTCCCTCTATGGTCTCCCAAGTGCTGAGGCATTTGACACTTTCTCTACTTCTCCATTTTGTATCTCTAGCCCACATCTCTCCTCCGAATTCCAGACTTGTATATCCCGCTGTCTTCTCCACATCACCATGAAGTTTTTAACCTTCTGTCCGAAATCAGGGTCCTCATTTCCACGCCATCTGCTGTGCTCCTCCTGCAGTCTTTCCTGTCTCCACAAATGGCAGCTCCACATACTAAATAGGTCAGGCCATTACCTTGGGATCGACCCTAATTCCCCCCTCCTTTTCACACCATCCTCATCTAGTCCATTAGCACATCCTGTTGACCCTGCCTTCAACATACTTTTAGAATCCGATTATAGATGCTGCTGGATTTACCATATAGCTACATCCTGATACACCCAACGTAAGTTGAAAATATTGTTTAGTCAAAAAGGCATATAAGGCCAGGCGCGGTGGCTCACACCTGTAATCCCAGCACTTTGGGAGGCTGAGGCGGGCAGATCATTTGAGGTCAGGAGTTCAAGACCACCCTGGCCAGCATACTGAAATCCCATCTCCACTGAAAGTACAAAAATTAATTGAGTGTGGTAGCACCCGCCTGTAATCCCAGCTGCTCGGGAGGCTGAGGCAGGAGAATCGCTGCAACCCCGGAGGCGGAGGTTGCAGTGAGCCGAGATCACGCCACCACACTCCAGCCTGGGCAGCAAAAAAAAAAAAAAAAATAACCAAACCAAAACAAAAAGGCATTTAATACACCTAACCTACCAAACATTCTAGCTTAGCTGAGCCTACCTTAAATGTGCGCAGAACACTGACATTAGCCTACAGTTGGGCAAAAGGATCTAACACAAGCCTTTTTTATAATGAAGTGTTGAATGTCTCATGTAACTTACTGATGTTCTGAATGTGATCACTTTTGTGCCATTGTAAAGTTGATAAATCATAACTTGAAAAATTCTGGCCAGGTGTGGCAGTGGCTCACGCCTGTAATCCCAGCACTTTGGGAGGCCAAGGCAGGTGGATCAGGCCAGGAGTTTGAGAACAGCCTGGCCAAGATGGTGGAACCCCTTCTCTACTAAAAATACAAAAATTAGCTGGGCGTGGTGGCGCATGCCTGTAATTCCAGCTACGTAGGTGGCTGAGACATGAGAATCTCTTGAACCTGGGAGGCAGAGGTTGCAGTGAGGTGAGATCGCTCCACTACACTCCAGCCTGGGCAACACAGTGAGATTCTCTCTCAAAAAAGTAAGAAAAGAAACATCCTAAGTCGAATCATGCTGAGTTGGGGGCTGCCCCTGCCTGTCCCCAGCTGAATCCTAACTGATGCCTCTACTTCCCCTCACCTTGAAGCAGCCAGAGGAGGAGTCCTGTAAAAATATGTGGCCTATGTGATTGTGTCCCTCCCGGTCCCCAAACCCTCCTTGGGCTTCTTAACCTCATCTCCTCCACCCTTACTCCCTTCCTGCCACTTTCCCCTCCTGGCTGTTCCTCAGCTGAACCACACACGTGCCCACCCTTTGCGCTTGCTCTTTCATCTGCCTGTGATGTCCTTCCTGGGAGGTCTCTGTGGCTCTTCCGTGTCTCTGCTCAGGGTCGTCACTCGGAGAGGCCTTCCCTGGCATGGCTGCCCTGCCATACTAGGCTCTGACCCTGCTCTCTTGCTTTCTGGCAGGTGTCACCATTCAGTCTTGTCTCACGGATTTTTTTTGGTGGCTAGTTCATCTCTTGCCACCTTACAGTGTAAGACTCATTAAGGCCGGGGGCTTTGTCTATCTAGTTCCTGGCACATGAAACAGCATCTAGCCCTGTCATAAGGTCTCTGTCGGCTGGGCACGGTGGCTCATGCCTGTAATCCCAGCACTTTGGGAGGCCGAGACGGGTGGATCACGAGGTCGGGAGATCGAGACCATCCTGGCTAACACGGTGAAACCCCGTCTCTACTAAAAAATACAAAAAACTAGCCGGGCGAGGTGGCGGGCGCCTGTAGTCCCAGCTACTTGGGAGGCTGAGGCAGGAGAATGGTGTGAACCCGGGAGGCGGAGCTTGCAGTGAGCTGAGATCCGGCCACTGCACTCCAGCCTGGGCGACAGAGTGAGACTCCGTCTCAAAAAAAAAAAGAAAGGTCTCTGTCGATATTTTTCCCATGGATGGTTGGCTATGCATCAGGGTAGACAGACACTGAAACCAACCAACAGTCCCAGTGACTAGAGGGGCCCTCCTGGCCTGTTTGAGGCACAGTAGGGGTGAAGCAGGTGGCCTGGGGTGTCGGGCTGATCGTCTCTCCAAGCCTTGGCCGGTGGCCACACAGCAGCCCCCAGCCCCTCTCCCGTCAGCTGCCTGGTGCTTTGCCCACACCAGGGTCTCTGGACACCAGCTCTTCAATCGCCAGCCAGCCTGAGGCCTTCTTCTCGAAGCTGCAGGAGTTTCGGGAAACCAACAAGGAGGAGTGTATCTGTAGCCATCCTGAGTGAGCAGGGGTGGGCAAGGGTGGGCAAGGGTGGCTGAGCGGCTCTATCCCCCGGCCTGCTCATCCCCCTCGCCCTCTCAGACCCCAGGTCCTGGGCCTGCGTGACAGCAGTGGCAGCGGCGTGGAGGAAGACCATGAATGTGAGTGCGGGCCCTCAGCTAGGCCACTGAGTAGTCCAGCCTCGCGCTGCCCTGGCCTCCCCTGCCGCAGAGCGGTTCCATTTGAGGTTTGGGGCCTGGGGAGGGCCCTGAGGTGTTGAGACTCATGGAGGGAGGCTTGCAGTCTGGACAGGGTGGCCAAGCCCTGGTAGGGGTGGGGTGAGCTAAGACCTGGCCTCCGAATTAGGGGCTGCCCTGCGTGGCCCCATCCCAACCTTCCCAGCAGCGCCTCTGTGCTGGTGGGACTCCATCCCAGCTCCTGAGAGCCCCGGGAGGATGTCCCCTTAGGGCGTGGGCCCCACGTTCTGGGAGGAAAGGGGTTAGAAGGAAATGGGCCAACTTGCTTCCCAGAGGATTGGCAGCCTGTGTGATTGGGGGCCGCTGGGGGCAGCACCGGGCCTGGGGACCTGGGGACCTGGGGACCTGGGTTCCTGGCTCAGGGGGAGCTGCGGCTTCTCATGGGCCTCGCAGGCGTGTACTGTTACCGTGTCAACCGGCGCCTGTTCCCCGTGCCTGTGGATCCCGGCACCCCCTGCCGCCTGTGTAGGACACCACGAGACCAGCAGGGCCCTGGGACCCTGGCGCAGCCGGCGCAGGTCAGGTGAGTGACCAGAGTATTGGGACACCTGTGGGGACAGAGCCTGAACCACTGGTTTTAAGCGAGTAAAGATGGGCCTGGGCGTGGGCCCCCAACCGCCGGGAGGCTCCTCAGGGGTCCCCCACTGCACCCCTGCGCAGGGTGAGCATCCCGCTGTCCATCCTGGAACCCCCGCACCGGTACCGCATCCACCGGCGGAAGAGCTTTGACGCCTCCGACACACTGGCCCTGCCCCGGGTGAGCAGCCACGTGGGGCTGGATGGTGATGAGGGCGGGGCTGGCTCAGACTGGCCCAGGTCCCCAGGGAGGGTCACAGAGCAAGGCTGGGCTCGACAGTGGTGAGCACCCAAGTCTCTGGAGCACAGGCTGGGCCTCTTCCATCACCCACACCTGTCCCTAAGGGAGGTAGGACCCCCGCTCCACTTACCCTGGGGCTTCCAGGGTGGTCTGCCTGTAGGTTGGCGTGAAATGAATGGGCCCTGTTTATTGCGCTTTTGTGTACTGCAGGCACAGTCCTTAGGGGGCTTCTCTCAGGGAGCCCCCACAGCAGCCAGGAGGGCAGGCACTGCTGTACCCCCACCCTGCAGGTGGGGAGACCGAAGCGGAGTGGCAGGCGCCTTGCTGGAGGAGCTGGGATTTGAACCTAGGTCTCTGTGCTTCTTTTTTTTTTTTTTTTGAGACTGAGTTTTGTTCTTACTGCCCAGGCTGGAGTGCAGTGGCACAATCTTGGCTCACTGCAGCCTCCACCTGTAGTCCCAGCTACTTGGGAGGCTGAGGTGGGAGGATCACTTGAACCCGGGAGGCAGAGGCTTCACTGAGCCGAGATCTCGCCACTGCACTGCAGCCTGGATGACAGAGTGAGACTCCATCTCAAAAAAAAAAAAAAAAGAAAAAAAGTCCTTTCCTGTGTCTCCAGGTCAGGATGGGGGCCCAGTGGCAACTCCGCCTGACTCCTAAATTGAGAGTAGGGCAGCTGGGGTCAGAGGAGGAGAAGGATACAGGGGAAAGTCAGTTTGCTGGTCCATGAAATGGACATAACAGCGCCATCCTCAGGGATGTTGGTGGCGAGGTGGGGCTGGTCAAGGAAGCAATCCATGCGGGCGCTTGGAGAGCCCACAGCAGGAAGCGCCCTGTGAGTGTCACTGTCACCATCCTGTCCTCCTCCTATTTCAGCTCTTAGGGCCCCAGGGATGGCTGGATCTGCCAGGATAAGGAAGGAGAGACCTGGGGTAATCTTGTGGGTAGACACAGGCCTTGCCCTGGTGGGGGCCTCCTTCCTAATGGGGGGCACAGTCCCTCCCTGATGGGGGTCTGCCCAGTCAGTGGGGAGCCTGTCCCAGGCCAGGCACCTTTAACCTCTTGCCTTCCACAGCACTGCCTGCTGGGCTGGGACATTTTCCCTCCGAAGTCTGAGAAAAGCTCAGCCCCCAAGAACCTGGACCTCTGGTCCTCTGTCTCTGCTGAGGTCCAGCACCAGAAGCTGTCAGGCACCAGCCCTTTTCGCCTGGTATGGCCCAGATCACATCCTAGCCTGGGGTGCCCCCCAGAGGGACAAAGACCTTGGAGCAGGCCTGGGGACTGCAGAGCCCCCTGGGGGGTAGGATTGGGGTGGGGAGGATGGAGCCTGGGGGTGTCTCTCTGCAGGGGTCCAGCCCTCTGGCCCTGACCCTAGCCGTCCCCCGGAACTCCTCCGCTCCCTGCCGCCTGCCCTGCTCCACCCAGGAAGGCCACCCTGACTGCAAGATCCAGGAGGGAATGTGGCTGGAACTGGAGGTGACCTGTCCCTTTCAAGTGGCCCCCCTGAAACTTCCCTCTTCCCCGTCCACGCCTTGCCAATGCAGGTGCCGCCCCCCACCCCGATCTGGTCAGTGCCCCAGGTCCCTCAGCCCCATGTCCCACGGCAGAAGCCTTGAGGACTGACTCCTGGAGGAGGACAGCATTCCCGCCGCCTCCAGCCTCTCACCTCTGGCAGGCGCACCCAGGAGATGGAAGCCCCTGCCCGGCCCGCTCAGGCCCGGCTGTCCTAGGTTGGGCAGGTGGGTGGGCCCAGGCTTGTCTGCTGCCTGGGTTCCAGAGAGGAAGGACCCTGGGGTGGAGGGTGAGGGATTCTGTGGAAATTTTAAAATAAAGCTCAGTGCTCTGCAGCTCAAGTCCCACGGGTGCTGGTTCCATCCTGCTCATGCACTTGGGGCCCAGCAGGCACTCTGGCCTCTCCGCCTGCCCTCCTGGCACCTGCCGAAGGAAGACATTGGACCACCGGGACTGGGCAGTGTGCGTGCGTCACCATGAGGGTGGCTTCTTCCGCACATCCCCAGCTCTGGGTAGTGGCCTCCACCAGATGGGGGAGGGGGGTCCTCAAGGCAGGCTGGGCCAAGGTTATTAAAAAGTCATTTCAGGCTGGGCGCGGTGGCTTACGCCTGTAATCCCAGCACTTTGGGAGGCCGAGGTGGGCAGATCACGAGGTCAGGAGATCGAGACCACGGTAAAACCCTATCGCTACTAAAAATACAAAAAATTAGCCAGGCGCAGTGGTGGGTGCCATAGTCCCAGCTACTAGGGAGGCTGAGGTGTAAACCTGGGAGGTGGAGCTTGCAGTGAGCTGAGATCACACCACTGAACTCCAGGTGACAGAGCGAGACTCCATCTCAAAAAAAAAAAAAAGTCATTTCAGCGAGGGCCTCTGCTGAAGCCGTGAGTCGTGTTGAATGACTCAGCTCTGTCGTTCCTGGTCCCAGAACTGGGATCCATTGATAGAAGTGCTCTCTGGAAGTCCCTGGGGTCACGTGGCTCCTCCACCCAGCCCTGGAAGCCGTGGGTCATTCAGAGCCCCAGCAGGGACAGATGAGGAAACTGAGGGCTGGGCAGTGAGTCGGAGGCAAGGTTAGCAGAGCGCCCAGATGCCCAGTCTGGGAGAGTGGGCAGCGCCGTCTTTCACCTCTTGTACATGTTGGTTGCACAGTACGAAATTTCTGTTTTTATAAATGGAATAAATGCGGAAACGAGGCATGAACTTTCCCTAAGGTTTCTCGGCTTAGAGATGGAACTGGGCTGTGCTGTCCTGGGGCTTTTTCCTGGAGTTTATGAAGCTATAAAAACTTTTCCTTCTCTCTGGAGAAACAAAGTCTCTTTAAGTCCCTGCTTTCAATTATTTTGGGTATATAGAAGTGGAATTGCAGGATCAGAAGGTGATTCTGTGGTTTTTTATTTTTGAGATAGGATCTCACTTTGTCACTCAGGCTGGAGTGCAGTGGCGCCATCTCTGCCCACTGCAGCCTCGACGTCTTAAGCTCAAGTGATTCTCTTGCCTCAGCTGCCCCGGTAGCTGGACTACAGGTGCGTGCTACCACGCCTGGCTAGTTTTTTTTGTACTTTTTGTGGAGAAGGGGTTTCACTATGTTGCCCAGGCTGGTCTTGAACTCCTGAGATCAAGTGATCCCCTACCTTAGCCTCCCAAAGTGCTGGGATTACAGGTGTGAGCTACCACCTCCGGCCAATAATTCTATTTTTAGTTTTTCAAGGAACCGCTATACTGTTTTACTTTCCGACCAGTGATGCACAAGAGTTCCAATTTCCCCTCATCCTCAACAGAACTTGCTATTTTCTGGTTTTTCTATAGTAGCTGTCCTAATGGCTGTGAAGTGTATTTCATTGTGGTTTTTATTTGCGTTTCCCTAAGGATTAGTGAAGTTGAGCATGTTTTAATGTGCTTATTGGTCATTTGTGTATCTTTTAAACAATAATTAATAGTCTTTTTTTTAAACTTTTAAGTTCAGGAGTACTTCTTTATTAGTTTATTTATTTTTAATAGAGACAGGGTCTTGCTATGTTGTCCAGGCCTCAGGCTATTCCTACCTGGGCCTCCCAAAACACTAGGATTATAGGCGCAAGCCACTGCACGCGGTCTGTTTGTGTATCTTCTTTGGAGAAGTCAAGTCCTTTGTCCCATATTTTAGTTGGATTTGCTTTGTTGTTGTTCCACGTGTAATTTTGAGTCAGAGAACTTGTGGGAGACAGTGGTTTCTTTAGAAATTCTTTGGCCAGAGGGAGAAGAGAATTCAAAGCCTTTCTGTCAAACAGAAGTTACAAAATTAGGCTGGGCGCGGTGGCTTACTTCTGTAATCCCAGCATTTTGGGAGGCCGAGGCAGGAAGATCACTTGAGGTCAGGAGTTTGTGACCAGCCTGGCCAACATAGTGAAACCCCATCTCTACTAAAAATACAAAAATTAGCTAGTGATGGTGATGTACACCTGTAATCCCAGGTACTCGGGAGGCTGAAGTGGGAGAATGGCTTGAACCTGGAAGGTAGAGGTTGCAGTGAGC